TCAAATAGCACAATTAATACTGATGTGAAGCCCTCGATATTACTAAAAAGTGGCTGCGCCTTGCCAGCTCTTACCTGAGGGGCTGATGGCCAGTTTTTTGAAAAATTCACTCATTTTCCTGGAAAAATAATATTTATTTCAAGAAAATCTATTAATTTCGTTTTCCATTTGCGTTTTCTCATTCAGCCTTTTCAATGAAGTTATCGTTGCTTCTATTTTGTTCAAGTTAATGCTGTTTTTTAATTTTATTTATAATTTTCCGGTCTTAGTCGGTAAGTTATCCCATTGTAAACTAGAAGTGCAGCATTTGGGACAAGGCGGCATGCTTAAAACACCAGTGAAACCTAGAAACGAAGTATTTTCATCCGGAAAACCATCAAGCTGGCAAGCCTTCCAGGAGATAGGTCAAACATCAGAACTGGCTGCAAGCTGTCCGAAAAGCAGTGCAGCGCTTAGTATTCCAAGTAATTACCTCCGTCATGAACGGAGTCCTTTGTCCAAAAATGGTCGCGGACCTGGGGAGAGTCGAACCATTCCCCTTCGCGTCCGGACGCAACTTGTAACCACTACACCACCGGTCTTCAGGTTTAGCCTGACAGCACATCTACTGCGTAGCTGCCTGTTAGGGCAAGATACATCTTTCTTTTCTTCTCTTTTTCTTTGTGGCGGCTTCTTGGCCAGCTTTTCGCGCGTTCCCCGCGATAAACTCTATGTGCATCATGTTACTTCTGCTTTTTTCTCTGCTATGTGAGCAACTTTTTCTAGATGCTCGACAAGAATGAAAGCATTAACTTTGGTCAGCTTACTGATAATTCTGGCACTCTCTTTCCCACTGGGCTTTTCAGGTGAAGAATACTAAACTGCACAGCGTTCCCTCGGTCTGTTATGGAAGTTAATGTAGAAATTGCAAAAACATGTGAAAATGAACATTATTCATAAAAAAAAAAAGACGAATATATTCAACCTCAAGATTTTTGGCAGCAACATTCTTGACAACAGCTGGGAACAACTCTGATACATCACGTCCTTTTGCTACCAGCTGAAATGTGAAAAATATCCCGTATGGTTGCAATGACGATTCCCAACATGCCACTCATCTGGCGAAGAGCCTGATTGTTTATATGGTCACGAACAGATATTTCAAGTATCCTTCACTTCACTGCTCTCCCCATTACGGTCAGTTTACTAATAAACGCAAAACAATGCATAAAAATTACATTTATAATTCGTTTCATTGCATCCATCTTTAAATTATCCTTCGAACTGTCCAGCATCGCCTTCAGGTCCGCAAAACGTCTGAAATATAAAAAACTCGAAAATACTCGATTATTAGCTGCATTATATGGAACAACTGTTAATTCACGGTTTCTTTCTCATTCTATGCAACTGGCAACTTTTCCATCGACTACAATCCTCTGTTTTCTGCATTGACATCGCTCTAAATATTCCCAGTCGGGCTCTCCATGCATTAGCAGATCGGGCCAACTGCTAAAATCTAAATATCACCATATGTAAGAAGACATATTAGGAAGCAGTCTGTGTTTCATGTTGTAACTTTTATCGCCTTAAAATCCCTTTATTTTTATAGTTGACACTACAAATATATGGCTGCCGATTATTATTGGGCCCACAAGTTGGTAGTTTCGGAAATCGTAATAACACTGATGACTGATACAGTGCAGCATAGGGAAGTTAGCTAACGTTTAATAAACAGATGATTATATTTTTTGGGAAAGTTGCCAGTTACATAGATGAAGATTCAAACAATGGATTAACAAGTGTTTCCAGACAATTTAGGAATCATTCAATGGGCTTATTTTCACCACCGCTTGTCGCAGAAAGCAAGGGAAAAGCCATCTGAGAAGCCACCGCAAAGGAAAAGTGGGAAAGGGGTATCTTGCATTGCAAGGCAGATACACAGCAGATTTGCTGCCAGGCTGAACCTGGTCACAAGTACCGGTGGTATAGTGGTAACACATTGCGTCTGGACATGAACAGAAGTGG